CAGAGCCTGGAATAATGGGAATACAAACCAGTGAATACTGCTGACATGGCTGAGTATTTAAAACAAGGCCAAGTTGGATCTTAATCCTTGTAAACACATTGTCTTATTTACATTTTACCCTAGGAGGTGGGTTCTAGTGATGTGTCCATTTTACTGGTGGAGAAACAGAGGGTAGAGATTATATAAATAGCCTGTGGCCAGGAGTCCCAGACTAGAAGCCCCCTCTGGACTGAGCCTCTGGGTGGGGGTCCCCCTGCCTTTCCTGTGTCTCTAGTTCACACAGACCACACCTGAGTGACCCAGCTGAGCAGTGCTGAAGTCTGAGGGAATGGCATGGGGTCAGAGCCGGCTCAGCACTCAGATGGAATAAAGTGGGGTGATCACAAGAAGCACTTCCTCAGCTCTCCCCCAAATCCCCCTGCCTTTTCTTTGAACTTTCTGTGGCTTGAGGGTACCTCCCTCTTAAATTGAATACCCAAAGAAGGGGCTGGTGTCCACCTAGCACATTATTGTATGTGATGAGTGAATAAATTTTAATAGGGAGGGTGATGAGGGTGTGGGGTTCTGATCCTCGAGGAGTTGGGGACCCTAACATTACCACAATTTCATACTTCTGACTGTGCCCTGAACCCAGCAAACCCACTGCCACTGGGCCAATTTTGATTGACAGCAGCTCTGTGGTAGAACAGCTCACAGAGGGTCCTTAGGAACTAGAATGCCTTGCCTTTCTTCCGTGGAGCATTGGGTGGGTTCATACTGCCAACCTTTTGGTGGTTGTTGTTGTTAGGTCGTGTTGAGTCAACTATAATTCACAGTGACCCTGTGAACAGCAGATCTGGACCCTGTCCTATCCTGTGCCATCCTCATCATCGCTGAAATACCTGAGCCCATCGTTACAGGCATGGCCATCCTCTCTTTCTCTGATTTGCAGCCTTTCCCCGGGTGATGTCTTTTTCCCAGGACTGACCACTCTTGGCAACATGCCCAAAGTTTAGAAGATCAAATGTCACCATCCTTGCCTTTAAAGAGCATTCTGGTTGCACTTTCTCCAAGATAGGCGTGTATGTTCTTTTGGCAGTCCATGGGATATTCAGTACCGTGTCTCCAGCACAACTCAAAGGCATAGATTCTTCTTCTGTCATCCTTATTCACTGTCCAACTTTCAAATACATAGCAAATAATTGGAAAGAGCATAACTTGAATCAGACACACCTTAGTCTTTAAACTGACACCATTGCTCCTTTGCATTGTGAAGAGGTCCATGACTGCAGATTTCCCTACTGCAACAAGTATTTTGATTTCTTGAATATTGGTTCCCAGGGTGCTGATTGTGAATTCAAGTAAGATTAAATCATTGACAATTTCAGTCTTTTCTACATCTATCATGATTTTGCCTATTGGCCAGAGGTGAGGATTTTTGTCTTCTTGACATTGAGGTATAGTCCATATTAATGACTATGGCCTTAGATCTTCTACAGCAAGTATTTCAAGTCCTCTTTACCTTCAGCAAGCAAGGTTGTATCATCTGCATTACACAGGTTGTTGATGTATCTTCCTCGGACCCTGATGCCACATCATTCTTCTTCATATCAGTTTCTCGTATTCTTTGCTTCTCATACAGATTGAATAGGGAGCACTGGTGGCCTAGTGGCAAGAACCTGCGCTGCAAGCCTGAAGGCACGCAGCTTGAGGCCACCCACTGGTCTGTGGGAGAAGGATGTGCACTCTCATCTCATGCAATTAACTGCCTCTGAAAACCTGCCAGAGGGTCCGCTATGAGTTGGTTCCAAACCCACAATACACAACAAACAAATATAGATTGAATAGATATCAGCAGAATTCTTTAACCACTATATCACATTGTCTGTTATCCTTTAAATTCTGACACATGCTGAGTGCCTTGTAGGGGTCAGAGGAAGTCCAAAGCACTTCATGTTCTCCACAAAGGTCCTCTTATAATCTGGGTCTGCCCAGCACAGAACTTGAGGCTCACACAGAGGAGGTGAAGCCACCTTGGGACAACCGGAGGTTACATAGCCTAAGCGGGAAGCTACATTGTTAGCCCCTGACAGATGAGCCGTGCCAGTCTCAGCTCTTGCCCCGGGTCAGCCTTGGTGCTCCTCTGCCTTCCTGAAGTATCTCTAAGCAGCATGGAATTAGCTCAACTTAGGGCAAACTCCTTGGGGCCAGCAGCCCTCAGGGACTTGTAAACAGCAGGGAAGTGTACCACCTCGCTGGAGAGAGGCTCATTAGCGGAAAGACCTGAGAGCTCAGGGCTGCAGGGAGACTGTAGGTAGAGCTGCTTTGTGGCTGTGAAGCCCAGCTGGTGTCTTTACCACTGTCTATGGGCTCTGCTGGCTTCCAGTGAGTGTCCAGTGGTTCTGTCACCCTGACACCCACTGAACACTGGCTCCCAACACCAAGGCCCAGCCATGCCCCTGACCAGCCTTGTGCCTTTGAGAAAGACACTGACTCCAGGCTTCCATGTGCAGATTTGTGGAAGGAGTCTCTATGCAGCCCGTTTCCAGAAGTTGTTAGGAGAGCTGTGGTCAGCTGACAGAACTGAACCCCAATGAGGCACTATTCTAAATGGTTTGGGAGGCTCAAGGTTCAAGCCTCTGAATTAGTCTGACTTCCAGGCTGCAGCCATTTCTGGACTCTCATCTGAATCCACAATGAAGCAGATCTCATCTTTGGCTGTTCTTCTTAACTCCTGGGGTAACACTCTCTGAGCCCACGCTGGCCCCAAACCAGCTGAGTCTTAGTGAATTCTGGGCATCCATCACCCTTTCTAAAGCACCCCGCCCCCCCGCCCCAGGTAATCCCAGTATTTGACCCAGTTTGGTCAGAGCCATGGTGAGGGACTCTGGGTGTGTCCCAGGAGCAGCCCGGGAGCTTTGCACAACTCCTGCCTGACATCAGTCCAGAGCATGTCAGTCACACCCTTCAGCTGTGCAGTTTTCTCCCTGGTGATTTCCTGGGTATCAAAGGCTGTGACTGTGACCAGGATACCCTGTCCAGGCTTCAGCCTTTTGAATTTGGGACAAACACTGATCCTGTCACTTGGTGGAGCCGATGTGGGTAGTTGGAGGAGACGCCCTTGTCTGGGGACAGAGTGGGAAGCAGTGATATAGGATCAGGGGGACTTCAGCATCTCAGCCCAATAGGTGGAGCCCTGGACTCTGAGATGGGGACTCGTCCTGGCTCAGATTTTCACCAGCCGTGTGACTGGGCACTCTTGGGACTATCTGAAAATGAACAGTTAGAGATCACGCTCCAGAATGTGCACAGCAGAGCCACTTGGGGAGTCTTTGAAGATACAGATGTCTGGGCGCTGCCTGAGAGCTGTGAAAGCAGGACATCTGGGCCGGGCCTGGGAGACTCCATGGTCAGGGCCACATCATGGGACTCTGGCTGTGCGTTAGGTTCGTCTCTGTGAGTCCACCTAAAGGTCAGGCCCAGGCGTCAGTAAGGGCACTCCCAGCCTTGTCACTCCAGGAATTGCGAGCCGCAGAGCCCAGGTGTCCAGGCTCAGGCACTGACGTAAGTCAAGCAAGGTCATCTCTGAGAGAGGCCAGGGAAGACGGAGAGCTGCTGCTGCTGGGCACTGCCGAGTCAGTCTTGATGGGAGTCTTCATGGAAGGAGATCACTGGGTCTTTCTCAGGTGGAGTCACTGGATGGTTTCAAACCATCCACCTTTTGGTTAGCAGCCAAATGCTGGCACCACCAGGTGAGGAACAGGGGGTGCTTTTCTTTCGAGCCTCCCATGTGGGTTTTACCTGCTTGCCTCTGCAGCGAGGTTGCTCTTACTGTCCTGTAGAGATGGTGGTTACAACTCAGAGAGGCTGGGGACCCTCCCTAGGTCCACAGTGGGCGGCCAACTTACCTAGACTTCATCTTCTCACAGAAATTCACCTCAGAGACAGTTTCCTTGTTCTTCACAGGATTCCTTTAAAGGATGGGCTTCTAGGACCAGCCTCATTTTACATGAGATTTGGGGTGCTAAACCCCAATCTATGCACAAGCTACAGGGCATCCATTCCTTCCAACCCATATAGAGATGCCCCCATACCCCAAATAAGCTTGTCTGAAGGGAGACAGCGCCTCCTTCTGGGGGCTGCAGAACCCCAAGGCTGACTCTTCACAGGCCACAGCTAAGGGTGAAACCATGGGATGTTAAGAGATCGGGCAGCCTCCTCATATGCCCTGATTAGAACAGCTCCTCAGGTGTCCCGCCCCCTCAGACCCTGAAACAGGACCCTGGCAGGCTCCTGTCCCCAGCTGTCCCTGGAGAATCCAGCAGCCTGCACTAAGGGTTAACCCGAAACCCTCCACCTCCCTCCTCCCACCTCCTGTCCGCCAGCCTGTTGCCATGGGAACGTGGCTAAAAATAAAATGAGCTCCCAAAGCCCAGCCCCAAGCACAGGAGTCAAAACAAACTAATTAAAGCAGCCAGGCTAAAATGTGAAGGTAATTACACCCTCACTCAGGAGCCAGTCGTATGGGGATGGAAACGCTGGGCAAGCCATCCTCCCTGTGCCCAGAGTCCCTGGAGCCCATCCCTGAACGCTGGTTGACCCCCGGCCCTTGAAGCAGTCCTGTTCCCTCTCTGCAGAAGGACTCACTGCCTGGGCCTGAAATCGGGGCGCTCATACCCTCTCTGTAATAATCCACTACATAAATCCACAAAGATGACCCCAACCTTGCATGGCCAGGGAGATGATAGAGCAAATTGAAATCTAGGGCTGGTTTTCTACATTGTTCTTGAAATTCCAACAAGTCCCTGCATAGCTCTGAGATTGCCCTGGCCCCCCTAAGATTTTAGCAAAAAGGTCCTGCAATAGCTCCCTTCTCTGCTGGTCCATCTCCCTACCCAGGATCTGGAGCCTGCAGGGCAGCCCCTCATCCCTTCTGGTCCAGGAGTGTGCGGAGGGCTCTGCCCTCAGATCGCACAGGGAGTGGGTCAGGTTTATCCCACCACTGGCTCTTTGTCTTTCAGGACCATCAAGGTGGAGGTGTACGACTGGGATCGAGATGGCAGGTAAGGAGGAAGAGGAGGAGAAGGGCCCAGGCCCCCCAGGCAGCTCTGTGGGTGGGAGGGCCAGCCTGTGGGAGGTCTTAGTGGTTCCTCCCCATTCAGCTGCACTGTGCGTGTCTCCTTCCTGAACAATATGATGCAAACAGCATAGAGGCTCTTAGCCCCAGATAGCTGCCAAGTGGCCAACAAGTGCCTTAAGCCTTCCCAGGTTTGGTAGAATTTAGAATTCTCTTAAATATACATGCTCCAACGGACAGATAGCAGTGACCCTTAAGCATTCATGGACATTCTCTGTGTAAGGCTTCAGGCTCAGCATTGTGGCACCATGAAGATGCAGCAGAGGAGCTTAGCCCTCTGTGGGGGCGCCCACCACACAGCACAGACCTATGCTTATCAGAGGAGCTATTTGCAGAGAGCAAGGACAGGGGACTGGGTCTGGGAAGGGAAGCTTCAGTGCACAAGGACAGATTTTTAGATGTCAAAGTGCCAGAAGAGGGCCTTGTTTGGTGGGTGGGAGGATAGTTGTCATTCAGGGTCTTTGGAGGGGCCAGTGCCTTCTCCTGTGTATCTCAGTGTCCTGAAGGAGCCAGTGTTGCTAGGATGAGGACAGGGACAGGCCTGTCACAGCTTTAGTCTAGATCCCTGACTACATATCCATTGTCTGTCTTAGTCTGGGTCCTCCTGAGAAGCAAATCCAGGGATAAACTTACTTTGGTCAGACCTAAAGGTGAGATGTTTCTCCTGAGTCAGGTATCTCAGAGACTTCCAGATCCAAGGCCAGCAGGCAAGACAGGCTGCTGGTCCAAGAATCAAAAAGGTGATGGACCAGTTGCAGGATCTTGATTAGGCAGAAAGCAAGAGAGCTCTTGCTGTCTGATTTCCTTTATGTTCAATGCAAGCCACACCGCCAGGAAACTTCCTTTCAACCAGTTGAGTGCTTGTAGCAGAGCCCATCAAAGGAATGGTTACACTGTGTCAAACCTCAGCAAATGAATGGCTACATTGTAACTGGTCACTATTTAACCAGAGAATATTGGGCAGTCAAGTTGACACTTTACTATCACATCTATTAAACCAAGTTTAAATGCACCATCTTGACTTTTGTGACCCCACCACTGTGTAACACCCCCAAGGGTTGACTTTATAATCTACACTGGTATCACCCGAGTCTGTGATGTAGAATGTGATGCCATCTCAGTCTTAGGCAAAGGACTCCCTTAAATACTGCAGCTGTACATTGAATTACTAAACACCCTGTCAAGGAGCTCACTTTGCTCTGAGACCTTACTGTGGAGACGCTCCAGAGCCAGCACCATGTCCAGTCCCTCCCTCCTGGCTTCCTTTCCTCCTGTTTCAAGCTACTTTACAGCCAGGAAAGTTAGGCTGCTGTTTCCACCCATGATCTGCCTTTTCCTCCCATGGAGTTGCCCTTTCTGCTTTAGTTGGAATAGGAATATTCTTTTCCATGTCAGCTGGGAATAGCTGTCAGGTGACCTCTGAGTTCCAGCCTCAAATAACTGACAGTCTGCGAGCTATAAACAGGTTGTCAAAACGCAGGGTGGACTCAAGGTGGGCAGGGGCTGGGGACACTTCCTGGGTGTCACTTTGGAGCAGGCTGTTCCAGGCCAGGGGGTGAATGCTTTAGTGATGTAGACAGGATAGGAGAGAACAGACCACAGGGGGACTAAACTTAGCTCAGATTTTTTGCTGGGTTTCTGCTCAGCACCTTGTGAGGGGCAAAACCGCAGAAGGCACAGGCTTCAAAGAAAACACTCCTTGCTTCTTGATGAACAAAGCTCTAATTGTCTTTTTAAAAACTGATATTGGATAGTTTCCGGATAGATCGGAAAAGTCAAGAAAAAGAGTTTAATGGGCACCTTGAAGCCCAACACCTGGCTTTAACTGTTGTTAAATTTCTGCCACTCTTGCTTTGCATGTGTTCTGCTGATGTCATTTATTTAAAGTAAATTACAGGCATGGTGGCAACCCACCTCTGAATATTCCATTGGGCATTTCACAAGATGGAGAAGGGGTTTTTCCCTACCTCATCACGAATGTCATTATCACATCTGATACTTTGAACAATAATCCTTGACAACCATCTAATATGTATTTCATATTCAAATTGCTCCAGTTGTCCTCAAAATACCTTTTTTTCCCCCCTGGTTTGTTCAAGCCAGGATCCAAATAGAAGCCTTGTATCATATTTGGTGGTTATGTTTTAGAAACTTCAGATTGCTGTGCACTATTTTCCCCCAGTTCTCTCCAGCCGTGTCCTTCCCGGGAACCTGTTGGCCCCTTTAATCATCAGGATGCCCATCCGGGGCCTGTCTCCTCCAGGGCTTCTTTCCTAGGTGACCATTGAGTTTTCTCTCCCATATTGGACTACCTCCCAGGGACCTGGCCTCTCTGGAGTAGGTGCCCTGGATATGTGTGTGCAGTGGACAGAGGTGGAGCCCCCTCTGGGCCTCCAGGTCTCAGCCACAACCTTTTCTTGCAGCCACGACTTCATTGGGGAGTTCACCACCAGCTACCGGGAGCTGGCCCGCGGACAGAGCCAATTCAACATCTACGAGGTGAGGTCCCACCAGGAGTCAGGGGTTTTCTCTGGTGATGATTAAATAGCTCCAAGTCACTGACAATGACCATGAGCCAGACGCTAGGCTGGTGGGGGCTTGGCGTGTTGAGGTGGGTGTCATGGTCTGGCTTTAGAGAGAAGGAGATGGAGGCTGAGAAGTTAGGGAACTTGCTGAAAGTTCAGCAAGCGTAAGGATCAAGACACAACCCAGGCTTGTCTGATCCTAAGCCACTAAGCTGAGGCGTGCACTTTGAGAATTCACCTGACAAGGGAGAAGGGAGGAGGCGACCAGGGATGGCATGGGGATGCTGTGACGAGAAGGTGCCAGGCCTGAACCCCAAATCCTGAGTTCAAGGCCACCTTCTGCTCTCAGAACAGTTCCAGGACCTATGGGATATCTTTGCATTTCTGGAAGGAATCCAGACCTGGAAAACTGGAAGGAGTGAGGAAACCTTGGTTCAGCCCTGGCTCCACCACCAGCTGACTGTGGATGGGCACCTGGTATCATTTGCTCTCAAAAGACGATTTCTGCATTTGCTTGGGTGTTCTCCTCATGGAATGGCCATCACCATCCAAATCTAGTCCTAATTTTCCTCTTCTGAGTAGCCTTTCCCAGCCTCCCAAACCCACTGGACTTCCTCCTCTTTTTGAACTTCCACAGACAGATTGTGGAATTTTGTGTCAAACCTCCTTAACCCTAGACACTTATAATCCTTGTAACTGCTTGGATTCCTAGCCTGTCTCTACCACTTAACCTGCTGTGTGACCTTGGGTAAGTCACTGAACCTCTCTGGGCTGGTATAAGATGAGGACTAAATAGGATAAATATATGTGTTTTGGAGAAAGAAAGTGCAGCCAGAGTGTCCCTTGGAGGCAAAGATGGTGAAGCTTCATCTCATACTTAGGCCATTTTGTTAGGAGGGGCTGTTCCTTGGAGAGGGACATCATGCTTGAAAAGGTGGAGGAACAGCAACAGAGAGGAAGACCCTCAACAAGATGAACTGACATAGTGACTGTGGCCTTGGGCTCGTGTGTGTCAGAGATGAGGATGGCACAGAACAGAACAGGGCTTGTGTCTGTTTTTCATGGGGTCACTGTGATTTGTAATTGACGCAATGCATCTAACAACAATAACGACAAATAGGACAGTGCCTGGCCTGGAGGAAGAAATACGTAGATGCTGTCATTTATCATTCTCTGTTGAGTTCCGGTGTGCTAAGGAATTTACTACTTCACAGCTATCCTGTAGTACTTCCTGGGGCTGTTATCCCCCTGTAAGCAGCTAGTGACGTCAAAGATCTAGGTCTTAATCCTGCCGTGCACACATGCCGTGTTCTGTGATGCACTTCCAGGTGGGTGGTAAATACTACAGCCATCCAATCAGAGACAGACACTTACTATGCTCCCAGACCCGTGTTGTTGTGGCTAGGTGCCAGTGAATCCACTCTATGACTCATAGTGACCCTGTGAACAACAGGTCTGAACCTGCCCTGTCATGTGCCATCCCTCTAAGTTCTCTCCTGCCCAAGCCCGTTGTGGGTAGTCACTGTGTCCATCTGTCCTGCTGGGCGTCTTCCTCCTGTTCTCTAAGCCTCTGCCTTTCCCAGCCTGATGTCTCTCTCTAAAGACTGGTTCCTCCTGAAAATATGCCCAGAGCAAATGAGGCAGTGTCACCATCCTTGCCTTTAAGGAATACTCTGTTCGCACAAGAGGTGTTTGTTCGTTTGCCAGTCCGTGGCATAGTTATTATCCTTCACTACCACCACAACTCAAAGGCATCAGTTCTTCTCTCATCCTTAGTCACTGTCCAACTTTCAGATGCATAGGAAGCAACTGAAAAGACGATGGCTTGTACCAGGCGCACCTTAGTCTTTAAGCTGACATCCTTGCTTTTTTAGGACTTTGGAGAAGTCCCTGACAGCAGATTTCCCTAAGATGACACTTTTTTTTTGTCTCTTGGCTGCTGTTACCCTGGGTGTTGATTGTAAACCCAAGTAAGATGAAATAGATGATGACAACTTCTTTTTTCCATCTATTATTGACTTTATAGTGACTCCAATAGTGAGATTTTTTTTTAATATTAATATGCAATCCATTTTGAAGGCTGTAGTCTTGGCTTGTCTGTAGCCAGTGCTTCAGATCTTCTCCACTTTCTGCAAGTGAGGTTTTATCATCAGCGTAATGTTGGTTGCTGATGAGTCTTCCTGCAAACCTGATGCCACATTCCTCTTCATACAGTCCAGCTTCTTGAATGATTTGCTCAGCATACAGATTAAATCAGTGTGGAGAAAGCACACATTTTCTCATTTTAAATCATGCAGTTCCCTTCTATTTGGACAACAGCATCTTGGTCTATGTAAAAGGCAAAAAATTTATATGATCTGAAAAGAAACAAGAGTATAGCATCTTGGTCTATGGATAGGTTTTGAATGAGTACAATTAAGTGTTCTGGGATTCCCATTCTTCTCAATGTTAGCCTAATTTGTTAAGATCCACATAGAGCCATTAGCACAAGGAAAGTGGATACCAGACAATACATGGAAGTCTGTGCTTACTCTTAAATAACAGTTTTATGGTGAGGAACCCATATTTCCTCTATGTCACTCACTGGAATATCTCTTGATCAGCTTTACCTCTTTTGCTGCAGGTCCAGCCTTCAGTCAGTAGCTTTGAGACAGCTCTGGGCCAGTGTCTCTTGAAACAGAACTTCTCTGAGGACTGCCTCTGTGTGAGGCAGCAGGCCTCCCTGCCTCAGCCCCAGCACCTCATGTGCTGCACCCTCTCTGGCCTCTAACCTACCAAGGTTCCCACTTCTGCCCTGTTCCATTCAGGGTCACAGCTGACTGTTAGGAGTGTTCAGCCCACTCCTCTCCAGCCCCTCTGCTTCCACTTCCCTGCTCAGCAGACACCAGCTTCAGCTTCTCCTGGCCTCTGCTGCTGTTTTCTCCCCACCCTACATTCTACTTCTAGAAGAGATGCAACCAGAGTGCTTTCAGAGAGACAAGGAGGCTGAAACTTCACCTCACATTATGTTGGGGGTGTTGTCAGGAGGAACCTCTTCAGGGGTTGGGGGGTCATATTGGGAAAGGTGGAGGGGTCAGAGAATAAGAAGACCCTTAACAAGATAGGTTGACGCAGTGGCTGTAAAAATGGGCTGGAGCGTATCAGCCATGATGAGGTTGGTGCAAGCCTTAGATCTGTTGTTCACAGGGTCGATGGGAGTCCGTGGTCAGGTCAACAACAACAGCCGCTTTGTACCGTGTCCAGGGTCTCTGCTGCTTCTGGCGCTAGTCCCTTTCTGATGAATTTTCAAATTTTTCATCCCCCAGACAAAAGGATGGGGCGGGGGCACCCTGAGCACAGAGCTCCTGCATCCCCAGGGGATCTGCTCGCCCTCCTCTGGGAGCTGCGTGTTCATAGTCTTGCAGCCCAGGAAGCTCCAGTGAGTCTTCTGCTCCTGAGACTTTTAATTAGCCTCAGTGTGGCTCCCCTAGGTCCAAGTGAGCATGGAACCTGGTGATCCCCTGCCCATGGGTTGAGCCTCGCTTGTGGAGAACTCAGTTGTGGTTCTATTTGCAAACAAAGGACCTGAGGCCAAATCATTCATTGCATAGAGATCCCACACCTTTAGTTTCCCCTCTACACAAGCAGGTCTTGTGTTTTCATCTATACTGTAAGATCCCTGGGTGCAAAGAAAGTGGAAGTCACTTTTGTGGCCTCCCACCACCTTGGTCAGGGTAGTGTCGAACCACCAACCAGTTGACAGCTGAGTATGCTAACTGCTGTGCAGCCAGGCTCCCAGCCCTTCTTATGCACACGTGTGTGTGTGTGTGTGTACACACATACACACACACACACACACTTGGGTCAAATAATGCTATTGTAAAGATGGAGCGTGGATGAGTTTTCTTGAAAGGACTCAGCTGTGCTCAGTAAGTTATTTTTGTCTTCTGCATCTACAGGGGGAAGGGCTGTCTCTGCAGCGCTGCCTGCACCCCTGTCCCAGGCAGGTAGAGGCAGGCTCCCCCTGCCTTTGGTGGTCTTTGTGGGGGTGTGTGAGGGGGGTCAGCTCTCCTGAAGCTGGACATCCAAGGGCGCTTGACAGGCTCAGAAGAAACCTCTGCTCAAACCAGAAAGAGTGAAATTGTTTTCTCGGTTGTTGATCCTTGCTCCTTTGTAGTCAACAAGAGAAACTGCAGACCTGAGAAGCAGAAACGCTGTCTTCACACGTCAGGAACTCTGTCAGGTGGAAAGGAATCCAACCTCCAACAGCTGCAGAGGTCAGACTCTGGCCTGCGGGGGGGTCTCTCTGCCTGTGGGGGCTGAGGAGGGCCTTCCAGGAGCCAGCATGGCCTTGAGGGAGCGCTTCTGCCAGGACAGCACCCGTTGCGGGCCCTGGCAGCATCCTGAGTGCCAGAGTCCATGTCCAGGTGTCTGCTGCCCCCCTCAGATGTGTTACTGGTAGACTCACCCATACCAACCCCGTATGACAGAGCAGAAATGCCCAGAGTTTTCTAGGCTCTGATCCTTACAGGAATAGACCGTCCATCAGGTCTTTACTCTTGTGAAGTTTTCAGTTAGTAAACAGCCAAATTTTCAGTTAGTCAACAAGCACTTGACCATTGCACCACCAGAATTCCTAGCCTCCTCAGACTAACTTTCTAAAACTGAGCTTGGCAGCTGAAGCTCTCCGCACCCGCTGGTCCTCATGGCCAGCCAGTTCCTTCTCCCGGGTTCTCATCACTGCATCTGGGGCTCCTTGGAGATCCCACAGCCGGTCTGTGACTGAGCCCTGCCCCTCTCGCTCGTGCACACATTGCCTTTGAGTGGGAGCCGACTTACAGCTGATCTTCCATTGAGTTTCCGAGCATATAAACGGCACAGAAGGAGTTTGCCCATCTCTCTCCTTTGGAGCTGCTGGTGGATCTGAAGCACCGGAGAGGTGCAGCCTTTGCATTAACAGTGAGACTCCCTACCGAATGTGCCACCAGAGCTCCC